CCGTGCCAAAGACACCTTCCAGAAGCACATCGATGGTGTCCTCCAGAAGATCAGCAAGCTTCGATCCTTGGTGGCGGACTTGCAAAAGAACTATGTCGCAGAGGGAGCGCCCCATTTGTGCCTTCTCAGAAACAATGAATATGGCGAAGACGGTCATAGCCCAAATATACAACATTTAACCTTTGTGCTTTTGCGATCTTCCAGGTCCATCAAAGCTATCAATGTGGACTTGGAGGCCCTTGACAAGGACTATACCATACTGAGTGATCACATGGCCAAGGGTGAGAGGGACAACTTCAATGAAGCGTAGCTGGGACCTTTTTTGGTTGCATGGGTATGGTACTGTTGGCATGCAGTGCCAGTTTTTAGGGCAATGCAGGGATGCTTGATCTGTTCACCGCAAACGCAGCATTCTCTACAGCCCATTAGTTAGGACAAACAAGTTTTGTCTTGGGACTTGTGCGAAGATGGTGTTTGTTTCGATCATCAGCAAAAGAACCCAGGTGGAACAAGGAGACTGAAGCTGTGATGAAGGCTTCGACTTTCACGTGCCTAGATTGCAACCTTCAAAACCGTCTAGGATCAACCAACCTGTTAAGCTTCCCAGTGTGCCACCTTCGCTTGACCAAAGTTATCACTTCATGAACATCAGGTGTTCCAAGATCCTGCAGAATGAGGCCAAGATTCGGCTCGGCGCTCAAGTACTTAACTGCCTCCACAGCACCAATTGCATGTTCCTGAGTTAAGCATCTTCATGAATACAAACCTGTCTTGGACCCAGGAGTGCCAAACGACACTTCCCGAAATTGGTCAAGGAAGAGCCTGTCAAGTAGTGAGGGCCAAATCTTTTCCCAGTTTTGAGGGGATGTCAGGTCTGAAAGGACCTGCTTGCGTACATTATCTGTCTGCCGGGAAGTGGGGTTCCAGTAGGCTTTGCATCCCAGTGGTAAATCCGTGTTAAACTTTTGCTAAAGCTTTGATGGTGCTGATTGAAAACCTGTTGATGGGCTTTGTGTTGGCACTATGTATGGCGGGATGCGGAGGGCCTCTGATGAAGATAAACTTAGCATCTCTGATTTGAAGCATTTAGCTTTGGAGCAAAAGGACAACAACCTTGCTATCTTTTTGGTGTACTCACCCTGGGAGATGATTGGGCTTGATATATTGGAGGATGTACTTCTTGCCCTAAATACTTCCTGGAGAAGGAAACAGTGTTCCGTGGGTGTGCCAGGTACAGCTGGAGCAACTTCGAAGCGCTTTGCTGCCAACGTTGGCCAAGGAGCCGCAAACTCAGACATACTCGTACCATTGCACCGTAGCCATCGCCACTCTTGGGACTCTTGGCGGCTCCCTGTGTCTACATTACATTCCAACACTTTGGACTGCAGGGTGCAGCAATCCTATTCGCTGACTGTTTATTAATTTCTGGTCCTAATCCTGAGTGCCCCAAACAAAAACAAATTTAAACACATTCACTATTGATGCTGCTTTGGTGACAGCCAACTGTACGATTGCATGGAACTTTGCCATGGTAATTGCTGAAAGCTCGTGCTAAAGCACCTGGAACCTGGAACTGCAAATCGGACATGTAGTTTGAATTGTCCTGCAGCACCTGCTCACGTTCTACGTCATGCTTCTCTTGTTGAACTAGTTTGATAGGGCTGCCACAATCTTGGTTGATGCGCCCATAGCATCACAACCCCTTCCTTGGTGGTCTTAATCAGTGGTTGCTCGCTATGAACCTCCATTTTGGGATTGATTTTGGCATCCCATACAATCGAAAAAAAGCTAACATGGTCAAAAGTCAAAGACTCATGTAATATAATGTTTGTTTGGATTGATCGAAGCAATCGACCCCTGGCTACAGATCGATTAGGGTGAGGTTGGGTCTTCATTTCTGGGATGCCATGAGTCAGTGTGCATGCGTGTGCACACACACACGGTGAGTTTGTCAACATTCTACAAGTGTGTAGGTTATCTCTTACACCTCCAAGGTATTCGATGCAAGAACATCTGGGCAGGTTGGGGCAGTTGATCCTTGAGGGATTTTATAACATTCAATCGTACAGGAAGCTACAGAGATCAATAGCACTATCAAGGTTAATGTGACTAGACATTCTGGAAGAGTGAGCTTGTGCGAAGACAAGTTGATTCCTTAGCGTTATCCATAAAACGTTCCTTGCAGTGCCCCGTTGCTTGCTGTGTTTAGTGTGCAGTGCTTGAGCGCCAGTCACCACCCCTGGTAAAGTAGGCGAGCGTATCTGCTTACCACGTCAAAGGTTCAATCCCTGGCGTTGGGCAATTCTGGTCTTCCGAGGCCAGCTGCAAGAGCCAGATCCTGACAGCGAAGGCTGTTGTTGAGGATGTTGGAGACGTTCCGGCAGCCAAGTGCGGGATGGATCATTGGTCCAACTGCTCACTGAAAAATTCAGAGCGAGATGCTCAGAAGGTGATGACAATTCAAAAGTCAAAGTTGGATGTTCCTGTGAGCCATCTTGTTTTCAATGGTACATCGATCCCATGGATTGATCCCCGGGATTGGGCCCGATGGATTCTGAGAATGGGTCTTTGGCCTACCCTTTCAGGGGCACCACGCAATGACTATGTTTCATCTGAGGGGATTTGGAGACAATTTTGGAAGCAGTACAGGGAGCTATGCCCAGACTTCTCTTTATTCAGGATGGAGGGTATAGATCTTGCGAAGACTGCTGGCATTTGTCTTCATGGCGATGAAGGGACAAGCCTCAAGCGTCAGGGAATAATGGTGTGCAATTGGCAAAGCATTCTTGGTCGAGGTTTTGACGACAAACGGGTGCCCAGGGTGGATGACCGAGGCGTGTGGCAAATGAGGGTAAACTTCACAGGGCATACGCACACGCACCGGCTGCTACTTGTGTGCATGCCCAAGAAGTTGTATGAGGCCGACTCCTCCGTTTTCCATTTTGTGATGGAACAGATTTCATTGGCATTCAAAGACTTGCTTACCTCTGGGATTCAAGATCCAGTGACAAAAGAAGTTCTCAGATTCGCTGTGATTTGTGCCAAAGGGGATGCTCCATTCCTGAGCAAGCTGGGGACCTTGTTCCGGTCATTCAATTCATTTGCGAAACGCGGTGATGCGCGCCGCCCCCCAAAGGGAGTATGCCATCGATGCTTAGCTGGCACGACTGGCTTTCCAGCTGAGGAGCTTTCAACGAGGCACCCACGCTGGCTAGACACCAGGGGCGTCAAAATGCCTTGGGTTCAAACCCCAGCAGTGATCCTACACTTGCCGCATGATGAACATGACCCAAGTTCCTTCTTCGCCTCAGACTGTTTTCACATTTTTCATCTTGGTGTTGGCAAATCCTGGATTTCTTCGGTGGTGATGTTACTTCTTGAAGTCTTGCCTGGATCGAATATCGATGCACAGTATGATTACTTGTCAAGCAGCTACCTTCACTGGTGCAAAAGAAACAAGCAGCAATCGCATGTGCATGCGTTGACGCAACACCTGATGAGTCACAATGACTACACAGGTCTGACAGGAAACTGGCACAAGGGGGCTCTCACGACCAGCCTGATGCGTTTTTTGACAGACTTCATCCCGCAGCTTCAGGTGGACCAAAGACAGTTGTTGCCCGAGTGCCTGCAAGCAAGCAAGGCTGTTAACCAGATGTATTCTGTTATGTTCCGCGCTGCTGCATTTTTGACAAAGGAAGAGTGTACAAAGGTGGCTGACGCTGGTTTTCTTTTCCTGGCTACGTATGCCAAGATGGCATTGATCCAGTACCATGTGGGCAAACCTCATGCGTTTCCACTCTACCCGAAACTCCACGCACTGGCAGAAATCCTTTGCACAGTCCACTATGACTCTTTGAGAGTGGGTTATGCTCTAAATCCCATTTGTCACTCATGTCAAATGGATGAGGATTCGACTGGAAGGACAGCACGATTGTCTCGGCATGTGAACTCACGCAGAGTGATGGCACGAACCATCGATCGGTGGTTGGTGGGTGCATGCGCAGCCTTCAGAGATGCCGGACTTATCATTTAGGCCAGGAAAAAGGCGTGCTGGATGGGAGAGTCGCACAGGATTATATTGTGTGAACACAAGAGTTGTAGATTTGAACATTCTGAAAACCTATGTTTTTTAAGAAAACCTGTCTTTTCTCCTCCGACTGAAAAAAAAGCAGGTGGCTGAGGCCGTAGGTAGATCAATGATGTGATGGCAACCCCTATGGCAGTGGCTCGGCCTTGTCTGAAAAGGACTGACGGCAGCAGTGATGTGGGACACGGATATGGCCATGGCCCCCACTGAAACATGGATCCTCAGGTGTCCCCGATCGACGCAGAATGGCCTATTGAGGATGTTAAAACCTGCCTATAAGTTCGGGTCTCCGAAGTCGGAAGTCGGCCTCCTGCTTCAACTGACCAGGAGTTGAGTTTGCCATGGAAGACATGTTCAGACCAAGTCAGGCGTGCTTGGTTAGATATTGGGAAGAGACGCACGGTTAATGCATGCTTCTTTTGACACATAGGTGAACTGGATGGTATTCTTCAAGATGTGCAAGACTAAACAAGGCAATACTTGTAGCTAAGATATCTTGTGATTCTACCTCACTCATAACTATTCACACACACACTGTGTGTCACACACTCATGATGCGATCAATCCTACTCTTGATCAAGTCCTAAACGACATCTGATGGATTTATGTCAAGTTAAGAGCTTGCCAATTCGAATCTTCAGTGGACGATGCCTTCTGCGAGAGAGTTCGATGCCTTCGCTTTCGGACCCTTCGGAGCCGAAGAAACAAGATCCAAGATCCAAGTGCCAACGGCTTTCTGGGACAACCCGTCAACCCAAAGTCACCTGGGAACTTCCAGTCCTGGACGGACTGCAACAAATCAACTGATCAAACAATTGGCCTGATGACCGCTCCTGATCTCTGGAGATCTTTGGAATATTCACCCGTTGACCACCCGAACGCATCTTTGCGACTGGTTCTGCCCAGAGTCGTTCTAAGAGATCCTCTGGCGCATTCCACAAATTCCTGGCCTGAGCCTGCGTCCGAGTGAATGGAGGTGAGAAGGTGTGGAGTGATTCTACACCTAGACATGTCCAAATTCCAGACTGTGCAGCTTCGAGAGGAGCGAGCACTGGGAGATTGGCCTCGGGCATCAAAACCGGGTCAAATCGCCCCCTCATCACATCACTTCGTCTATTTCAATATTTCCCTTCCAGGGGTCGAACTGGGGAGGTCTTCCTATTTTAATACCACCCTTGTAATACCGAACAGAGCACAGCATTGTTTCTTTACATCTGTGAAACAAACGTCTTGTATGGTCTTGTCATTCCTTGGTGCTCACCACCAGGACACACCAGTGATCCCCTTGATTCCCCTTGCTTCACACAACTTTCCGAACGGACACCCAGTGCATCCCAGTGCCCTCCACTTCATCCCCTTAAACAAGATTTTATTGCTAGTAGGGTGGAGGCCATCGCTTTTAGGTTCCTTTTGCTATTAGCTTGAAGGCCATTGGTATCCAATTCCTACATCCCGGGCCACGGACCGCTGAACCCGATCCCCATCTTCGCTTGATCGCCGACTCGACCGGCCTCTAAGAGTCGGCCCACGATGTTCCGAAAGGCCTGGCCAAACCGTCGGGTCGCCGTGGTTGTCCGCCCCTCCAGGCCGAGTTTCGCCCGACTGGCACTGGGCTATTGGCCGATATTGGCCTAAATAGATTTTTGTTGAAGGCATTGATGATTGAACCAGTCCCATGGAGTGTCTGGGAGGCTATATAAGGCTGTGAAAGTGCGTGGAAAACGAAAGGAGTCAGAGCTGCACCTCCTGAGTTCAAAACTGTTAGGAGTGAAGGTTTCAAGAAGAATCCCGAAGAACTTCCTTCAAACCCTGGCAGAAACCAGAGTTGATGAAGGCTTAGCCTTCAAGTGTATGATCGACAGCATGCAGAACCACCATTTCAACTCCAGGAGATCGTCGGCGACGTGCTTTTGAATCGACCACCACTGGAAGTGTGGACACCGCCCCCAGTTCCAGCGACTCGCCTCAACCATTGCAGAGGTGGATGTAAAAAAGTAAGAGCTTCAAAGCCCCGGTCAAGGCCCGTCCACCCCTGACTGCCCGCCACGGGCGATCTGCCTCAGGATTACTCTCCTTCAGACGTCGGGCCATGTCCTCATCTAAGACCTTTGCTGGCACTGCTCCGACCAGAGGACCGGGACGTCCAAACGGAAGACCGGAGGAGCGGCTCGGTCTACTCGACTGGAGTTGTTTGGAGCACATCGATGTTCCCCAAGAAAGAAGGTGTCAGGATCTGAAAGGTGAGCATCTGCTGAAAGATCTGAGAGATCATTTAGTAGAATAGAAGGATGTTGGATTCATCTCTTGTTGCTCATTGATCATCTGGTGATATATCTGGTGGATTTGCTCAAAGTTGACCCTACAAAGGTCCACACATGCCATGGAACCAGAAAGTCACTCTCCCAGCTTCGACCAGTTTGTTACGATGCTTTCACGCTGACACGAGTGGATATAGAGTCGGGTCTCCAGGAGAATGCTCCAAGCCAACCTTATTTCAGAAGACTCCCATCTTCCAAATTCTCAGAACAGGAGTGAGTCATTGAGAAAATATGAAAAACATTAGATTCTTCGGAGAAGTGTATAAGTCCCGTGTGTGATGTGTGGGAATCTTGTATACCGAACGTAGTCGCTGAGCCCCCCAGACATAGCGCGCCGCACTCTGGTCCCAAACCCAATCCTGACACAGTAGCTCCGTCAGCGGAAACCGCATTTGTTGCTCCAAATGGTCTTTTTTTTGCAGTCGCAGCTACTGGCACTAGCCAGGCGCGGTTGGAACGTGTTGGAACAATGATATTCAGTTTGTCATACATACCAGGGGCCCTCAAAACCATGAAACATAAAGGTATTCACAACAAAAACCAGGTGTTTTTGCTAGGGAAAACCAGGTTTTTGATGGTTTGTGGGGCCCCTGGTAGAGTGTGCATTTGCTAGGACCCGGAGTTTGATGTTAGGGAGCTAGCATGCAATTCCACCCTAACATGAGACATCAAGCAACATCAACCAAACTGAATTTGATGATCCCATGAGGCCTTACGCAAGAACTGAACCCAACCAGCACACTGAATCATGCTCTGAGTGATCATCCCGTGGAAAGGCGTCAATCAAGCCAAGTCCATTGAAGAGAGACGGCAACAACGCAGTGTGGACAGGTGACCAGGTTGTCTGCAAACATTGGCACCCAAAAAAGGAAGCACCATGCGGGATGACGACATATATGAACAGAAAGGAGGCCTTTGCTGTGCGGCAGCTAAAATAATCATTACTGACAGCACAGTACCCTTCTTGGAAGGGTCTTCGGTGCTTTGGTACCTGCCATCATCCGTGCCCCTAACATGCCAGCAATATCAAGCAAGGCCAAAGACACGCCCTCCACGTGCCCTAACCTACGCGCGCCGTAACGCCACGCGCGCACGTTCCTGGACTTCACGGTGGGTCACGCCTCGGCGAAGCGCGTGGTGCCGCCCCAGCCCAGCAGCGCCGTCATCCGCTGTGATACCTCAAAGGCGCCACCGGAGCCCTGCGCCACCATGGCCTGCGCAGCTCGGCGAGGACCAGGAAGCGATTCACTTCGTGCAAAGTGTGTAAGCTGCTTGTATAAGGTTCAGCTTGGGATTGGTTGGCATATGTCGGCATTCTTTGGGTGTGGACGATTCTCTTGACATCTCCTCAGCTCACTCGTTCAGTTCCTCCGGTTCCGGTCCCCCCAAAAGCAGTGAACTCACCTGATGGACATCTCACCCTCCTGGCGCGGTGGTTCTGCTTCGCCGCTTCGCCGCCCGGACCGCCTCTGCCCACTTGGGATTGAGCAGCTTCGTCCGGTACTCCATCCGCAGCACCGAGTCTAACTTCCCTCGGAGCCATTCGGAGTCCCTACCTATTCTCATACACACCCATTTCGTAGTTAGTAACAAAGGGCATTGCTACTAGGAGGATGTACATAATATATGTCAATATGAGTGGTCTGCAGGCTAAGTGGTTGGGTACCACCCTGACAAAGACCTCTTGGGATAACTCTTTAGCCTACCCTCTTGCAACTTGGGTTGCAGTTGCCGCTACCTGTTTGGGTTCAATTTCCACATCTGATGAAATCCAAACTTCACATGCATTGACCATCTAATGACCCAGTTGTCCGAAAGGCTCACCCTTCTCTTAGGAGGTAGCATCCAACTCATGTGCTATATTATACAGGTCCCCATCTTGAGCTCCTCCCCCAAAAGATAGGAAACGGGTTTTAGATGGTTTTAGATGGTTTTAGTATGCCCACCATGGTGAACTGTGAGCATCTGTGAGCATCCCGCGCCAGCGTTGGGACTTGTCATCAACTGTTTGGGACTTGTCATCTCCCAGTGTTCCGTCCACTCAAATAAGATCGAGGACCTGAGGAGCACACCCGGGTGGACATGTTTTGCCACAAGGAATTGCAATCTGTGGGGATGCAAACTACTTGGCCTCCCCTCATGCTCCCTCTTTCCCATCGTCAATGTTCCAAGTCGACTAAGCTCCTTCCCCTCCATCGATCCTCGTGGAGGAACAACTCACTCCTCACGGCGCTCCACCGTCTTCCAGCCGGACGTGCCTGGGGACCCCGGACGTGGTGCTACCGTCTTCTGGGTCGTGTCCACCACCAAGGCATCCACCTTGCGGCCCTGCAAATCACCTTGGGAGAGGAATGAGCGAGCGAATGGATGAGGTCCGGTGGAGAGAGTGGACTGGTGAACTCACCCGGCTGAAGAAGGATAGTTGATAGATGTTGATAGCATCGTCTCACAAGGTTTACAGTATCTGGATTGGGCAACTGAAGAAGGGACTGCAGTGTCGCCATTGAGTGAATCTCTCAAAGAATTCCAAACCGCGACCCGCGACCCGATTGGTGTTCTTGGGTCCCCGATGGCTTCTCCAAAGCTTTTGCTTCCAACATCACACTTCCGTTTTTGGAGGTGCAAAACAGGATTGCACTTGATGCCAACAGCGCGAAAGAAATTGAGTTTTTGCTGCAAGCAGGTTCACCATCCATCTCAAAATGACAGTATTTTGTTCAACTCTACGAGGAATTTGAGACACTCACATCCTGGCAGCTGCCATCATACCAGAACCACAGCAGGTTATTGGTATGGCATTGTGTTGAAGACAACCCAACCAGGGTAGGTCAACATCATTCCTTTGGAGCAAGCCAGTCGTGGTAGAGCCCCCAGGCACCAATACCGGTCCTCAAACCTTCCTACAAGCTGTCCTACTTCCAGCAACACTCCTCGTTTCGCTCCTTTTTTCTCTCGCACACTGGTCTGATCATGCTCTCACTCAGCTGTCGACCGTGGACGAGGCTGAGAGGAGCTTTCGCAAGTATTCCTGAGCTGCGCCAAAAACAACGGGGGAAGGGTTTCAGCGAGTCGTCGCAGCTGAGCGAATCCAACGATGCAGGCAAATCCAACGGACGAATCCAACGGATCCGCCGGCAAAAGGGGATGTATGACCAGTTTGAAGGTTGTTGAGAGGGCAAATATTCTAGTTGAATGATGTTGAGTGCCTTGTTGTCTTCTTGCGAGGAATGCATTCTTGTCTCTTTGCTCTCTTTGGTTACGGAGGCTTTGTTCGTCGAACGAACAAAACTTTGGCAATGTCGAACCTGTAGATATCAAACCTGGATGGTTTGGGACATGAATCATGTCCTCGGTACACACCGCTTCTGCGTCAAAGGCCCGGAGAGCAAAGTTGGTTGCTCCTATAGTGACTATAGTGCAGACTTTGTGTGCCCAGATACCCTCCATGCAAAAACATGGAACTGGACAACCCCGGTTTTTTTCTGAAGAAATGCGTCAACCCCGTTGTCTTCAAAAGTGCCGTCCATGCTCGAAAACGAAGGGTCATTAGTTTTACAATCATAATATTAATACGAAGGGTCATTAAGAAGGAATAATGAAAGGTCTAAACGAAGGGTTTATAATCATGTTAAGTTGCTTGAGTTTAGTGTTTTTGCTCGCAAGAAGTGTTTTGCACCAATGTTGTTTGGAAAAAATGAAAGAAGTGTTTTGGTGTTTCCGTGGCCAAGTCTTAAAACACTTCCACAACCAATAACCATTCGACCCTTCTTCTCACCCTCAATACCCTGAAACACTACGGCCAGCAGTCACAAATCCCCAAAGCGCAAGCACCAAATGCCGTTTTTCTTTTAACAAAAAATGCAAGCAGTCTCACTGATCCAAAGATCAGCTCTTCTTGAACAGCTTTCGCAGGTCTTCAAACAAACTTCCTACAAAGTGTTTACAAAGTTTTGGATCTTCACAAAAAATTGACAAAGTTTTGGAATTACAACTTTTTTACCGAGTTTTTGCATTACAAAGTTTTAACAAAGTCTACAAAGTTTAAAAATAGAAATAACAAACTTCACAAAGCTTTGGAAACTTACAGCACATTAAATTCTACGAAATTTTTACAAAGTATTAAACCTTTAGATATCTGAACAAAGCTTTGGACATTTATCAAGCTTTGAACAAGTTTTGGCATTTTACAAAGTTGTTACCAAGTTATTGATTTTGAACGTTTTTACAAAGCTTTTACAAAAGTTTTTGATGCTTACAAACTTTCTACAAAGTTTCGGATTTTTTCAATCTGTGTCAAAACTTTGTAAACTTTATTCTTTGAAAACTTTGCAAAACGTTGTAAACTTTGTAAGAACTTTGTAAACTTTGTAAATACTTTGTAAATTTTCAATTCTGTGTAAGCTTTCTAGAAACTTTGGTGAAATTCTAAAACTTTGTAAACTTTCAAAACTCTGCAACAACTGTGTAAAGATTGAAAAAACTTTGCAAACTTTGTCAAAACTTCGTAAACTGTTGTTAAAATTGTAAACTTTTTAAACACTGAAACACTTTAACCTTCGTAAACCTTTGCAAAAACTTTGTACACTTTGTAAAACTGTGTAAAAACTGCGAAAACTGTGTGTAAAAAATTGTAAAATGCGAAAACTTTGTCAAAACTTTGTAAACACTTGTAAACTTTGTCGAAACTTTGTGAACTTTGTCAAAAAGTTTGCAAACATTGCAAACTTTGTACACTTTGTACTAACATTTTGTAAACAACTTTTAGATGTTGTAGGCCTTCGTAAACTCTATTTAAAAAAGACGTTATAGACTTCGTAACACTTTGCAAACTTTGTAAAACGTTTTTAAACTTCGTAAACTTTGTCAAAACATTGTAAACATGTTGAAAGACCTTGTGAACGTTGTGAAAACTTTGTAAACTTTGAACACTTTGTAAATTTCCTAAACACTTTGTACAAATTGTGAAACTGTACAAACTTTGTAAAAACCTTGTAAAATGTAGAAAAACTTTGTAAACTTTGCAAAAAATAAACTAGCAAAACTTTGTAACCGTTGTCAAAACTTTGTAAACTTTGTCGAAACTCTGTAAACTTTGCAAGACTTCGTAAACTTGGCAAAATCTTTGTAAACTTTCCAAAATCTTCAAAACTTTGTAAGCTTTGTAAAAACTTTGTAAATTTTTGTAACAAAGGGCAAATGTCGCAAACTTTGTCAGAACGTTGTAAACTTTGTAAAAACTTTGTAAACTTTGTAAAAACTTTGTAAACTTGAAAAAGCTGTTGTAAACTTTGTAAAAACGTTGTACAACTTTGTAAACTTTGTAAAAAACTTTGAAAACGTTGTAAACACTTTGTGAGACTTTGTAGACTCTGTAAAAATTGAAAAACTGTGTAAATTCCGAACTTTGCAAGAACTTTGTCAAATTCCAAAGCTTTGTAAAATCGTTGTAAACTTTCAATACTGTGCAAAAACTGTGTACAGTGTAAACTGTTTATATAAACTTTGCAAATTTTGTGAAAGCTTTGTACTTTGTAAACTATGTAAATACTGTGTAAAGTTTGCAAATGTTTGTACACTTTGTAAAAACGCCATGTAAAAATTGTAAAATGTGCGACCTTTGTAAAATTTTTATAAACTTTGTACAAGCTTTGTAAACTTTCAATACTTTGCAAAACTGTGTAATCTTTGTAAAAACTTTGTCATCATTGCAGCAACATTGTAAAAAACTTTCAATACGTATTTAATTGATTTTTAAATGGTAAAACCTTTGTAAACTGGGTAAAAATTGGAAATTGTTCAAAACTTTGTAAACTGTGTTAAAATATTGTAAACTTTGTAAAACTTTGTAAACTTGGTAAGCGGTTGTAAAATTTTGCAAACTTCATAAAATATGTGTAAAGCTTTGTAAACTTTGTACCAACTTTGAAAGCTTTGTAAAAGCGTAGTGAACTTGGTATAAACTTGGTAAACTTTGTCAACACTTTGTAGACTTTGTAAAACATTTTTAAACTTTGTCAAACTTTGTAAGCTTTGTCAACCTTTAAACTTGTAAAACTTTGTAAGAACTTGGTAAAACTTTATTAAGACGTTGTAAAATTCGCAAACTTTGTGAAAAGGTTTACCAACCTTTTACAAAGTTTTGGAGTTCTTCAAATTGTTCTTCAAAGTTAGAGCAACGTTTTATACAGTTTTTTGAACGTTTACAAAGTTTTATATTTTTACAAAGTTATACAACGTTTACAAAACTTTCACAAGTCTTAAGAATTTGTACAAAGTTTGCAACTTTTGCAAAGAGTTGACAGAGTTGTTGAATTACAAACAAATTTACAAAGGTTTACAACGTCTACAAAGCTTTTACCATGGCCGTTCACTCACCACTCACGAGACAAACAAACCTATGAAATAGTCCTTTGGGTCTCGTATGTTGCCACTAACAGCGCAAAAAAACAAGACGTGTTTTATACCCTCTCTCTTAGTTCTGAACAACCAATTCTTCAGAGGTCCGCAAGGGTCAAAAACACTTCTTCTGCGCTAATTCCCCCGAAACAACGAACGACGGTCCCCAAGCAACTTAACATATAATCATAATGTTTAAATTTAGTTTTATAAATATATGGAGGAACTAGACTTAGCAATTCACCTTGTTCGCAACATGGCAGTTCCGCCAAACCACTCTCTAAAGGCGACCACTCACTTGGAACTCTTAAACTTCATGACCAAGCAACGGCACGCCCGTGGGGGCACGAGGACCGGCCCGGAAGCATCCCTCCAGGTGCCGAGGCTCATCATAGACCACCCAGAGCACTGGAATCAGCTTCTTGGCCACATCCACCTCGGATCTTCGCTTCGATTCACTCCCATTCAATCCACGGCGGATAGGAGTCGCTCGGACAAAGCAAAGAAGGCGTCCGGTGACTTAATCAACACGAACCGTCCGAAGCGTCCCCCATGACCCCCCAAGCTCAGTAGCTCAGGAGAGGGCGACGTGTATTCTTGGGGTCAATTGGTTCAATGCAACAACTGGTCGAGGTCTCATGCACCTCTGGTTCCACATGTATTTGCTTCCCCCCTTCATCCAACCAAAGCCCACTCACCGACTACCCGACCAGCGCGTTCGCGCCTCCACGAAGGGTCGCTTCTTCACATCGCTGTTGCACCAGCCGCGATCCCATTGGCCCTTCTCTTGTGCACGATTGCCTCAGGAAAATCTGCTCATGCACCGGAGGCCTTTCTCATGAAACGCATCGCCGCATTGCCATTTTTCTCTAGTTCCAGGGTTCCCTGGAGAGTTGGAGATCGTGAAGGAGCAGCTTCAAACATGGTAGTTGAGCCGAGGTGG